AGTATCCAGAAATAATTTATCACATATTGTAAATTGTAAATTTTCATCATTCACAGTACCTAAGTTTTCCATGTTATAAACTGGACATGCATACTGGCTTTTGACCTCAGTTATCTTTTGCTTAATTAATTCCACATAATCTTTATCTGTTAACAGAGAATTGTTTAATTTCCAGAAATCTTTTCCTTTTGTGAGCTCATTTAGTTTGAAAAATAATTTGTGATGATTTTTAGATGATGTATATGTAGACTTTGCCGCCTTGTTACCACACGTCAAGCGACCTGACGAAGTACATGATATTTCGTCAGGTGTCAAACTTCTAACAAACTGCCTTTCAACTCCGATAAAGACACTGTTCAATGTCCTTCAATGGAACAATGCGTTTGATATTTACATGTCCCTATACATTACAAAATACCCATCGCTCGCTTTAGACCTGATAAAGTATGGAAACAACATCAGAACATTGGCATTAGACTATGGTTTCCAGGAGGCAAGGTTTTATGACAAAGAGTTTAGAAAACTTCGTAAAGTCCACAAACTCGAGTGGTCAGTTATGCATGATGAGTTGTGGCGGGTGGCAACAAGCCAGAACAAATCTGGCCTTTACAACCTCTTCTCTAATTCAAAGCGTGGCAAAAACCCCTTTCATGGCAGGATCCAGCAGACAGAAAAACCCTAAAGGTTTCTGCTGGATATTCTGCGCTACAGGGCAGTGTGGTTTCAAAGAGTGTAAACTCAAACACGTGTGTACACTGTGGCAAAAAGCATGCATCAGACACATGTACATCTGCAAAGAAATCCCAAATTTCCCCAAAATCTCAAAACACCAGTGAAGTGTGATAGGCTAGCGTATCATCTTAATGGCTACAATAAATTTGACATATATTTTTTACTCTCGGGTTTTTCCGTTGATTTTCGTATTAGTGCTGGACCTTCCATACTGTCAGTTTTGAAATGTAGAAATCATAAAAGTGCTATTGAGAACCCCGAAATTGTCTGGGAAAAAATAAATAAGGAAATAAAATTAGGTCGATATAGAGGTCCTTATGATCAACCCCTCTTTCCAAATTATTTTTGTTCATCTTTAGGTTTGGTTCTTAAAAAAGAAGTAGGAAAATATCGTGTCATTCATGATTTGTCCTTTCCTAAAGGAGCGTCTATTAATGATTCAATTCCACGAGAGTTCTGTTCTGTCTCTTACGAAAACATAGGGACTGTTATCGGTTTAGTTCAATCACATGGGTTTAATTCGCTTATGGCAAAAGCAGATATTGAGGACGCTTTTCGTTTGCTTCCTAACCACCCTGATGATTATCATTTACTTGGCTTTGTATGGGAAGGTAAATATTACTATGACACATGTTTACCTATGGGTTTCTCATCTTCATGTCAGCTTTTTGAGAAATTCTCATCAGCACTCCATTGGGTTTTATCACAGAAATTTAGGGTGGTAGGCATATCACATCTTCTGGATGACTTCTTCTTCGTCGGTAAACAAAATACTAGTGTTTGTGCACACTCGCTAGATCAATTTTTAGAATTATGTAATGATATTGGTGTACCAATTAAGAATGAAAAAACTCAGTTACCAACGAAAATAATTACAATTTATGGAATAGAAATTGATTCCATGTTAATGGTCGCACGTTTACAAGACGAAAAAAATTGGTAAAATATATTGTAATTTTGCATACTTTAAGAAAAATCGCAGCATTTCTTTATAAGAGCTCCAGTCATTAATTGGGTTATTAAACTTTGCTTATAGTGTTGTTATTCCAGGCAGGCTTTCCTACGTAGACTGATCGACATTACAACCGGACATTCTTGTCCGACATACCGCATTACACTTAATGCTGAAGCTAGGTCATTGCATGCCTGGTCTACTTTTATTGATAATTTTAACGGAAAATCCTGTTTTTTATTTGATAAATGAGTTTCATCATATTATATTCTGATGCTGCAGGCGTGCATGGAGGTTATGCAGCTGTTTTTGGCTGTAAATGGTTCACTGGCGAGTGGTCAAATGACATGGAGTCTTGGCATATTACTGCCAAAGAACTGTTTCCTATAGTGTTAGCTTTAGAGTTGTGGGGTCATTACTAAAAAAACCATCAATATTATTTTTTACGGATAATGCCGCTGTTGTCTATAATCAATAAAACTTCATCAAAGAACAAAATAGTCATGAAATTGGTTTAGTTTTAGCCGCATTGAAATATAACATCTGGCGTACTTGTTTCTCAGCCGGCGGTGAGCCCGGCGAAGCGGTTGCATTACTTTTTTCTGAGCAGAGGTTGCGCGCGCAGTTCCGGCGTACGCCGCATTCAGCCGCCTCTTTCACACCGGCTCCAATCGGCTGCTGAAGATAAAAGATGGCGTCGGATGAACAGTACGTATAAGTCGCAGGATATTTTCCCTAATTTTTTGGATTGTGTTGTGATAAGCAAACAATTTATTCATAATCAAAGAAACATGAAATGTTGTACAGACATTTTTACGAGAAAAAAAAATTAAAGCATCTATTCTGCAATTTTTAAAGGTGTAAAACGATGCAGCAGAGTTGAAAACTTTATTTGATGCTCTGTCTCTAAATAATTTGACAGCCAAAGTGGATCTATAACTGAAATAAAATAAAAATAAAAGTTTTTTGGGGAGAAAAGATCAACATAATGAATCAGAATCATTTCTTTCTCAGAAAATATTTATTCTGTAAACAGAGCTATAGTCATGACTATAACACAAAGTATGTAATATAATCTGTAATAATTCTCTCTTTTGTAGGTACAGAATTTCGAAGTAACTTTACAAAAAACGGAAAAAGTATTCAAGGTTCAGGTGTCTCCTGAGCTTTTGGAGCACTATAATTCCACAGGTTTGGTTCAGTCAAATATTTAATGATTTTTTGTTTAAAAACAAGACTGCCTCCTTATTTAAAAGTAAAAACAGCTTTTGAACTTCAAAATATTTTTATATTATGGTCATTTATTTAAATTTTATGAATGTTTAGATCCTGATGCTAAAACTCTAGCACAAACACTTATTGCCCAGGCTGCTCTGGAAAAGTCACAAATTGAAGTCCATGGTTCACCAGAAATGGGTGATAAGCTTCCAGGTATGATGGTTATGATGATGAACTTGTGCATTTTCATAAACATAATTTTAACTTCAATCATAAAATTTAACCTTGTTATTTTATATATATAAATCATAATTTGAATTTTTGTACAAATGCATTTTTTATTTCACTTATCTGATTTTAATGGTTTTATAGACATTACATCAATAGACACTGCTGGGCCTAGTGCATCTGGCACCCCCACCTTCACCCATGCCATCTGGATGGTCAGAAAAGCGGAAAATTGTTTACTGGATTTTTTTAGAGAGGTCAGCAAGCAACCAGTCAAAAATAAATGGCTCAAAATTGCAGGAAAAATGAAAGACATTGGATTTGATTATTCTTCTGAGCAGTGCCGTCTTAAAATCAAATCACTGAAAGAAAGACATGCCAGACTTTCGAAAAAGAGGTGTACATCAGGGGAAGGTGGAGTAGAGGACGTCTTGGAAGATAAGATGGCAGAGACGTTCTCTACTCCAGACTGCAAGCCCCTACATATCTCTGAATCTGGTAGGTAAAACTATAAAAACCTTTTTATAAAAATCTCTCATTTTTTATTTTAAAAATAGATTTGGTCTATGCTGTATCATTAGTTTTTTTCTTCAACAAATCCTATCTATTTCCAATAACTTGAATGATTTTTTTTCATGAAGGCAAAGGCAATTCAGATGCCCAGAGTTCCAGTGACACAAGTGATGAGAAGCTGCAACCCGTTGCAAAGAAAGTGAAAAAATGTGGTAAGAAATTGTATTTGTAACTGGTTTTGAAAAAAATAATTAGGTTGACAAGTTGCATATACAAAAGCATAAAAGACTACAATTATTTTCAAAATTCTGGATAGATAAAAGTCATATATTCCCTGAGACGACCAGTGCATCCAAGTGGCTTGGGGGGGGGGGGGGTTCATCACTGCATAGCTGAATGTAACTGCAGAGAAGGACTGCCATATCTTCTGTTGAAACGTCAGATTGGTTCTTTCTTAAAAAATCAATGGTCTTTCACTAAAGTTTCATACTTGATCATTTTCCCCGAAACTACTCCTAGACACCTTGTAGTGGTTAAAGAGAAACTCACCGAGTTCAAATTTTATCCAGGTTGCAAAAATGGATGTTAGATTAATGGTATATTTTTCATTTCCAAAGTGTATAACATTTCATTGAGTAAATGTAATGAATTACATAATTGATAATTACAATAATTATTTTTTATAAAGGCCAACTGTGATGGATATACTGGAGAGAGCAGAGAAAGAATCGGAAAAAAAGTGTCACAAAGAAAAAAATGGAAATCATGAAGGGATGTCAAAAATGGTGAAAAAAGGAATGAAGCTAGGACAATTACTCTGTAATGACAATTTTATTCTTATCTCTTGAAGTTGGAAAGCAGCATTATTGTTATTGTTATTTCCCATGTGCCAAATAGCAATTATTTTTCTTCTTTTTTTTTCCAAGTGACTGTGGGCAGTCTGTTTCATTTGGAGCTTATGATGTTTTTTAAGAGCCCTTGTTTTTTAATGTTATTTTTTAAATTAAAATAAAACTGTTCAACATAGGTATTTATTGTGTTTTATACATTATTCAGTATAATCAAGTTAACCTTTCAGAAAAATAGTTCAATTAGAGAGTCTGTTTGTAATCATTATTCTTTTTAATGGTCCTTGTGCATCTTGTTCTTCCAACGGCATTGGATTTACATCCTGATTTTTATCTCGGTCAAGGAATTCTTCCACTTCCTCTCCACTGCAAATGCAGATATTGTGAAGGATGCATGTAGCCTGAATAACTTCACAAGTATCCTTAATTTTTCTATTATGAATGTATTTCAATCTTCGGAAGCGACCTTTAAGCAGTCCAAATGCCCGTTCAATAATTTGTCTTTAGGATGAGAGACATTTGTTAAAGTATGTCTGCTGTCTAGTAAGATGTCCTGTATCTCTGTAAGGGGTTAAAAGCCATACTCTTAAAGGGTAAGCTGCATCTCCAAGCAGGTGAAACCGGCCATATTCACATTTTTGGTAACCTGACTCCCACACATGGGAATTTTTCAATACTTTGGCATCATGGACTGGCCAGGCCAACCGATATTGGTATGAATAAACTGCATATCATCTTTGCATTTGCCTTGAAGTATAATAGAGTGAATCTTTTCCTGTTATAATATCACTGGGGGTTTTCTGAGGGGGGTTCCAATCCTGCATATGAGATCCGTCAATGGCTCCAATAATTCCAGGAACTCATGAACACCCATGTCGTTGAAGTTGGTAGCAATCATATCCATTTCTGTTACACTTGGCCATTTTATGAATTTACTCAAGAGGTTGTTGATTATACATTTAATCACCAGATTTTTATGCTTTAGAAAAGTGTATTCTGTCAAACCGAATCTGTCACTAATTTCCATAGTATTTTCTTGGGATGCTAAGTACCGTAATGTCATCAAAATTTTCTTCTCCGTCTGGTTTTCCTCTCTGCCTCCCCTGAACTCCCTTTTTCTAAGCTCTCGACATTGTCCAAGGTGCTGGTATAAAATCTCAGCGGTACCTCTAGAAACTCTAAAATCTTCTAAATGTATCTGGAGAAACAACGGAACAGTTGTTTCAAAGAAGTGTTGAGTTTTCATTCTTGTCCTTCTTTGTGCCCTGCAGAGATAAAGAACGAAAATCACGATTCCAATCCATAAACAGATAAATAGTGATAACTCAAAGGTGTTGGAAGCAAATTAATCAAAATTGGGCGGCGAATTGACATGGGGGGGCCAATCCACGGGGGGGGGGGGCTAAACCAACGTAAAGAAAAAGTCCCCCCCCCGTTCAGACTCCTATTTAAATCACATAACACGTACAATTGACTTTCTGACTATATTTTTAGTAAGTACTCAAAAACATTGGAAAATGCATCGCGAACCAGGGAATATTTTTAATTAAGAATGCCTCACCTGTGATCAAGCATTAAGGCCTTTGTAGGCAAAGTAAAATCATCGTCATCGTCATCGTCAAGCTGATCCAACAGGAAAGGAATTAAACATAAAATTATTTCGTTGTTGTCAGCCATGTTTATTATTTCGCCGGTTTCAGCCGAATCACTTTTTTCTTCAACAGCTTCCGGCGTAAGCCGTTTCGAAAAAACGGCTGAGAAACAAGTCGCCCATCTTCTCCAGCTAAACATATCAAGGGGAAACATAACATAATTTGTGATCTCCTTTCTCGCTTTCTTTTTCAGAAAGCTCACAAAATGAGCACGGTGTTGGTTCCGCATTTTCCAACCAATATCCCAGATCACTTCTTGATAGTTTAGTTACATCCCTGTTAAAGGCATCACTGTCATCCGCCACATTTACATCGTATAACAGATTTATTCAAAATTATGTGCAGTTTTGCAACATTTATTTCCAAGAGTGTCAGGCATTTCCATCTTCCCATGTGATGTTGACTCAATATATAACCTATTTGTTTTTGAAGGGTTATAGCCCATCCACAATAGCAACGCACATGTCTGCAATTAGTTTTGTACACAAAGCCAACAGTCTGAATGACCCTACTAACAACTTCTTAATAAAAAGATTTTGAAAAGGTGCGCACAATATAAGGAATCAGTGGATTGTAGACTTCCAATAACAAAAGACATATTAACAGAATAGATCAATTTCATCAATTCCATATGTCGTGTCAAATTGTGATAATCAACTGCTTATAACTGCAATGTTTTTGTTAGCCTCTTACGCATTTTTAAGAATGGGTGAGATTACGGTCGGTAAAGTCGTCATCGAGTGCTCAGCCGTTTTACAATTTGAAAATCTATCTTTTGAATGGGATAACGCATCATTATTGGGAATGTCGATAATTCTTGTTCACTATAAACATAGTGACCTACACCCTAAAACTATTTTTATCCCAAGGCAGTGTAATAATCAGGCTTGCCCAGTTTATGCACTTTAACAATACGTAAAGGCATTCAATCACACTAAAGGTTCCTTGTTTCAATTTAAATGTGGAACTCCTATTTCTCGTCTTTTTTCTTTAACTGAGTTCTCGGATGAGCTGTTTCATTTATAGGTCTGGATAATAGATTTTACAAAGGTCATAGTTTTGGTATAGGAGCAGCCACGTCTGCCGCAGCAAAGGGAGTTCCGTTTAGTGCCATTCAGAATATGGGAAGATGGAAATCAGATACATTTCTAAAGTCATTGGTGCTGCATAACATTTTAAGTGCTAAGTCAATCTTTAATTTCCCTTGTATATGGGTCAGTATTGCCTGCCACCTGTGACCACAAATTGTTTACTGGGTCAGCACTGCCTGCTAGTTTTGACATTACGTATTTAATATGTTTCTGTTTAAAGCTGGGTTAGCACTGCCTGCCAGTAATTACTTTCTTACACTAACATTATTAACTTTATGTGAGACTGGGCAAGCATTGCCTGACAGCAGCGAATTTTTAGACATTTATGTACTCTTAATTGTTTGGTATCGGTTTGTATCAGCAATTTTGAACATTTGTAGATACCCTGAACTTTGAAACCTGGGACAGCTTTGCCTGCCGTGATTAAATTACATATAATTATTGATATGTGTACCTTTTCAATAGCATCGAATATTGCATCTAAATAATTATATTGATATCTTTCAAGGGTTGCCTCTGATTTATTTTCATTTATGCATTTGGAGCTGTAACGTTTAATTAAGAAAATGTTTTAATTTGTTAAGCAAGGTATTAGCCCTTATGTCTTCTGCATATCAATATGTGTGTATAATTTTCCTTTAGCTAGATTATTTTTTTTAAATATCTGTTTCTGACTTGTCATATCTGCCAGAGTCCTCGGGTAGATCTCCTTCAGAGGTGATGAGTGGCACAGATTTCTACCCCACCTTTGCGAATCTTTGTCATTTATTCAATCATATAATATGATGTATTTTTGTAAATGCCTATTATATGATATTCAATAGTATGAGATACTAACTTTTTGTGAATAAATGACCTTTTCACACAATATGGGTATTGTGTTTAATTTTCGCAAATCAAGCTCGGACTATGGCTGGATATAATTCATTAATACTTGACGCATTGAGTCAGTTTATGGTGTTGAAAGGGTTGGAAAGTCAGTATATGATTTGCTTGTAAAACTCTCTAAAATGAAGAAGACCTCATTCAGTGAGATATTATAGAAACAGTAGGGGAGATTTTATGACTAAATTCCTTACAAATCCAAAGATATTCACTATGAGATCCTTATAATGAAGTTTTACTGTAGCAGGAATACATTGACCTTTAACCTAAAAAATCAATAGAAGTGTTAAGATAGTCATGGACAACAATGATATAGCAAAACTTGCTGATCTTTGACCTAGAAATAAAAACTTATTAAGCTTGTTTAATTGAGCTTATCCCTGAAGTTTGATGAAAATTCTCTAAACTATTAAATATAGCAGAAATATCCTCGTCACTTTATCCTTTTGATTAAAATCTTAATAATGTCATTTATTTACCTTTCTGTAACTTGGGTGATTATCTATTATATGTTGGATATATTAATTGGACACTATTTATTCTAGTAAAGAAGAATCCTGGAAAATGGAATATTCCTTTGTATGAACAATTTTTTTTATGTCATGCAGTTATTTTAATCAGAATAGCCGGACAATCTGATGACTATTAAAAAAAAAGTTTTCATTATACTATTCAGAAACCATTAGTCTACCTACCAAAGCATAAATGAATGTCAACTCAACAAAGCAAGCAAGGT